GGAACGAGGTTGAAACCAACTTTGAGAAATTGAACATTACGTCATGGTGAACATATTTACGTCATCAGCAATAACAATGTTCATTGCTAAACACGGATAGTGACACGTAACAATTCATGTTGAATTATCAACTTGAAAGTCGAATTCTCAAGTTGAATTTTGGCGGGATTGGTGCGCCTTTGGGGACTCAACATTCGACTTGGAGATTCAAACTTCATCTTTCGCTGACAGCCCATGTGTCAAGATCATCGTTGACATGTTAACATGAATGTTGATGGATAAAGTTGAACGTTGAACTGTCACTTTGAAAGTTGATGTTTAAAGTTTCAATGATTGTGATACAAAGTACAAAGTTGAAGAGTGAAATATGATGTTGTTCGCCAAGTTAATTGTTAGACTGTCAAGCTGAATGTTGTGATCAACTTTGATTTTTGGTGGGGATGGAACTCCGTATGAATCCCCCATATAGGCCTTACTCCCAAGGTAGAGGGTAATCCTACGTCGCACTGCATGATCGTCTTCGGTTTCGGAAATCTTAGGAGGATCTAGAAAAAGCCAATCCTGTGACGCAGTTTATGCTCAAGTGCACAGCCCACCTCGTTCCCAGGCTCTCTCTCCTCTGCCTCTCTTTGTCGTTGGGACAAAGGGAGGCAGGGGAGAGAGAGCCTAGGAATGAGGCTGGGCAAAGTCGCAACATTTCAACGCAACATATCGCAACATTGTTGGGCGCGAAATGTTGCGCGCGTTTGGCCACCCTATTGCGACGTGTCGCGACATGTTGGAAAAGTTTGAAAAGCCGGGGCTTTACATGCATTTTCATCCTCCACGAAAACATCCACGCGGATGTACCTTGGAGATGGATTTCCTTGTGGCGAAATAAGGTCTACATGGGAATCTCTTACCCTTTGTCCGCCTGTGGAAGTAGACGACTACTTGCTATTTTTAGTGCTCTTTCAAAGCTTCGGATTTTGAGGGTACGGCTATGTAGGCGAACAGCCAGGCATTATTTCCGTCTTTCTCCATTAGGTTCTGGAGGTCACAGAAAAGCACCACGCTCGTTCCTGTTCAGTCTTGTCAACCCAAGCGGTTTGCCACCAACAAAGATGCCTTTGATAGCTGGACAAGAAGAATATGCTATCTGTTGCAGCAGTAGTTATGGACCAATATTTGGAAGTGGCTATGATCTTTATATTTCCAATGCACCAGATTCCATCGACTGCTCTACGATTCTGAATAACACGTATCAGTGTCCAACCGGTCAGGATGCCACCACATTTTTAGCAGGAAATCAAAACTTTACTGTCAGTGAAATGGAAGTTTTTGGTTTTGAGAAGTACTGAGATGCTTACTTTCTGACTAAGATGAAGTACTTTAATTTATGATTTGCAAACATTTACATCTCATGTTATTTTCACACAGTCTAGCTGTCACAGTGGAGCACACAATGACGCAGTTAGTTGTCAAGGCAGAGGGTAAAACTGATTTAAACTTGCACTATAAAATGATCAACCATTAGTTGGATGTAACAACTAACTTATCAAAGATGCAAAATACTGAATGAAAATACTCGATTGGGTTGTGTATTTTTCGTTTTTCAGAAATGGATTCTATGTAGCCTGTGTAGCTGATGGGTTTTTGCCCGCGCCTGCTTTTGTTTGGCAGCGAAGCCATGAATACAAGTGGCGAAGCTGCAAGGGGGATTGGTGAAGAGTTGAGTTGAAATTCCATCGAGGGCATCACCCGGGATTGAATGAATGAATGAATGAATGAATGAAAACTTTATTAACGTGTCAGTGTATTTAGCTATAAATTAGCTAATTGGGGACACCTAGCTAAAGTCAATAACTAACAACTAGTTAACAAAAAAAACTTAATAAATAAATGTTGAAGTTGATAAGTACTTATTTAAAGCATAATAATAAATACTGTAAAATAATATAAAATGATTCTGTTCAGGATTTACGTAGTTTGCAGCAACTGCTATTATTGTTGTCAATGAGGTCTGAAAGGTCACTTTTTCTTATACTTATCTTTAAAAAGAGATTAAAATGGCAGCTATGCTGTGAAAAATCACTCATTCACAGATTCCACCAGCAACACAGGGTAGACTCTATGATGTACATTGATTTTATTTACTTATTATCAATTGGAAGAAAGACATATGGACGACCTCGTTTACATATGTTTTTGCTTCTTTATTACACAATGGCCACTTTCTTCTGTCCCTAAGGTGGCCTTTGTTGTAGAGAGGTGGCCGTTGTGGAGAGGTAGGGGTTCAGTACAACAACCGTTTGTTTTTGGGGTGCGATTGACATTTTCCTGTCAAAAAAATGCTTATTTTAGCATATATAAATCAAAATGTACCAGTTAAATTGAGACTTCACATAAACAGCGGAGACTATGCAACGACGCGCAGTACGGATCAAGTTTGGTGACCTTTTACAACAAAAAAATCGATTATATATTGTTTTGTGTACACCCTTCGTCAGTCGTCCATTAACTGGCTGTTGAGACGATTTTTATGGCCGTTGCCAGATAGATAGATTGCCGTGCGTCTGTTCAGTAATAGATCACAGAAGACCTCAAAATGTGGTGAGAACATCAGTGACATACTTGTACTTGGCTATCGCCTCGGGTGCCACTTTTTTGTTCTTACCACATTTTTACGTCATCTACGATCTACTTCTGACCAGACGTTAGCAACATGGAATCTATGTAGCTTGGCTAAAAGATGCTCAGTTAATTCCTCTAATTTTTCAAACATTTGTCTGTAATTTCGTTTTCCCGCGAACCGCGTCTACTCACAGTGTAACCAGACAAATTTACAGATAAACGCGTGGAAAATTGGAAGCTACATCCTACAAACTTGGTGAATACAATCTTCTATCCAGTATTCTAAAGTTGCGATTTTCAAATTGCGTAAAATTCAATTTTTGAAAAAGTTATTTGCCATTGGATTTCCATACAAACACTGTAATTTCTGACCGCTTCGCTTAGCCGTCAAGATGGCGTCGAGAACCGTGATAAGGCCAATATTCCATTTCTGCGAATGGGTTTTGGGGGTAGGGTGTGTCTACAGAGTTCTAGGTCTGCCTGGTTGAACACCAACTCTGTTCCTTACACAAGAGCCTCTTTTATTTACCTTTCTTGGAGACGACGAGAAAAATGAGATCGTGGAAGAATGGACGTTATCTTTGCATGTATCACAGAGTCTATAGACCGTTTTCACTGTCACGCTATCAAAAAACGAATCGAAAACCATTCAGTGGAGAAAGCTATGAAATTATGATGTTATAGAAGTTAACTAAATAAGCCACTTCTCCAAGTTTTAGGCCTGTGCGTTTCCCCAAACTTCAGATATTCGTCGAAATGTTTCGCCGATATTTACAGACCCCAGTATGAAAACGCCATGTTGGTGTACCTCCGTGGTACCCCAATATGGCGGCCGGAAAATAGTGTAAACATCTGGAACTTACTTTGGCTATCTAGGCGACTGATTATCAGTACTGATCAAACAAGCATTTACATANGCTCAAAATCATGGGATAAGTATATATTTTTCGACAAACTCGATCATAGCCTTGTGTCACGCACCTCCATAACCCTGAAATTCAAAATGTTCTGGATTCCAAACGAAGCAAGCTATTGAACTGTAAAATTGTAAACAGATATAAATAAACCGCCTCTTGTGCCTGATGAGGACAAAAACTTTGGTGGCTCTTTCGTTTTGGATTTTAGAAAGTGATGACGTCACGTGAAAACGATCAATTAAAACTCATTCCCAGCCTCCCTCTGCTATAAGTTATGTTCACGTGACTGTTTTAACTTCGCGTATCACTAAGAAGGCTGCAGAGGATATTTCACAAAGAAAGGTAGGAAAAATGCCCATTCCTTCTACTTATCATACAATAAATGCTTCAGAATGAATAATCCCTTTTTATAGTACAATAATTTCACGTGTCCCACTCAAGAAATTCGGTTTTATTTCACTATTCAGCGTAACACGCAGCAACAAGCACCATGAATTCTTGAGTGTTATAAATAGCACTCATTTACTCGGCCGAGAATTTACAATACTTTATATAAAGGGTCACGTAGAATTAACTGACTTCCGGTGCCGTGGGATCGCGTTTAGTTTAGCATCTTATCTTTATAATGATCATGTTATTTGAGCGTTACATGTTCAAAAACGCTTCTTCCTGCTCTCTGTGAATTCACGTACGGCAGTCTTGTACACGCGCAGCGGTTCCTCTTTCGATATTAAATTTTCGGTTTTCCTGAGTTTCGCGACCGAAGTGATTGGGGCCATAGTGTTCTTCCGTTAGATTAAAGTTTTCTTTAGGTAGTTTGATTCATAAATTTCTATCATTTCTCTCTGTATAACTAAAATCACAAATACCGCCGTACTCCTCAAAACGATTAAACCTTTCCTTGTTAGAATGGTGTTCTGCGAAAAGTCTGTGGACGCATTTCTTTTTCTTAGAAATAGATAAACTCCCTACGTCATGTCCAAAATTTATCCGTTGAATCTATTGATAGTTCACGCCTCCACTCTAGTGAATTTATCGTTAAGCTTATAACTTGATGGAAATAAGACTTCTATCACTACACNCTACGTCATGTCCAAAATTTATCCGTTGAATCTATTGATAGTTCACGCCTCCACTCTAGTGAATTTATCGTTAAGCTTATAACTTGATGGAAATAAGACTTCTATCACTACACTGCCGGTCAAACGTTGAGATAAAACACGCTCCTTTATCAAGTTACCGAAAAAGTCACAGCTGGAAGCTAACTTCGCCATTAGCGCCATTTATCAGCTTGGTATTCCTTCAATTTTGTCTCAAGCTCTTCCTCTGTAATAACCCGATGTTGTGCAGGGAATGTGCTGTTTGACAATGTACCGTTCGCATTTTAGAACGCCTAAATCATTCAACCTCATGTAAATAACGTGGTGTATTGCAAGCTCTTGCATGCAAATAGATGTATTTATTGTTTTGACGCTCGATCTGGTCCTAATTACATGCAAAATTATTACAATAAATGTGCATCTTTATTAAAATGCATGCCATAAAACGAACGCTTACAATTTTATACTTGATTATGATTGCTCGATGGGATGCTTATAATTACACATTAGGATAGTAGGAGAGTGGAAGATGCTATGAGATACATGTATTTTGTACAAAGGGAGACCGGAGTAGAAAGATTTATTGATCAAGTCTTGATTATTTGCCTGTATATTTATTGAAGTGAAGCAATTTGTGGAACAGGCTTGTAACATGTTTTACTATGTGCACAGAGCATGCCAGGAAGTTTTTCTTTGTTAAGACTTTGTTTAAACACCCCTCCCCCCATGGTGCAGTTCAAGAAAATATCCATACTCCCCCACAAAGAAAAGACTGGAATTTCCTTGGGATGAGGGGAGGGGGAAGGGGGAGGGGGAGGGGGGTTCTGTTAGCCTGCAAAAGCAGATGTATTTCTGGCTGTCACTTGTCTATTTTTTCAGCGGAGTCAAGTGACAGCCGGAAATATGTTTGTGTTCACAGACTAGGGTTCTGTAAGACCAAAAAATTTAAAGAAATGTAAGCTTAATTGGAATTTTGAGAGGGGTGGGACAATCTTAGACAAAATCCCTTCTGTGGTGGAGGGATGGATATTTTCTGGAACTGCACAATGGGTAAATGTATGGACTAAAACCCTACAGAGGACAAATCCTCTTTTTAGTCTCCCCTCATAAAACAAAGTAGGAATAAACAATCTTTATGTCAGATAATTTATGAAAATCTGAATTAGCTATTACACAAAGCAAAAACATCTTTAATGTGTCCCTGTCAGATTTTCCCTGGAAAAAAAACAGTTTTTCCCCTTAGGTAGTCACTTGGGGTATGAACTGTGTTTTGGTATTTTAAGCATTTTTAGATTTCCCTTTTCATTTATTTTAATATATTCATTTCATCTTTGTTTTATTTTACAGGACCCACATTGATATCAGTTTTGTAACTGAAGTGGTCACCGTTTATAAATATTTTCAATTATTATTATTATTATTATTATTATTATAAAATTTTATCATTATCATTATCATTATCATTTTTATTGTCATTGTCGTTGTCATTGTCATTGTTATTGTTATTATTATAGATAACATCAATAATGGCACAAATATCTGTGGAGAAAAGATTGCAAATGTCATTCGAAGACGACAATAAAGATACAAATTCAGCAAAACGGATGAAGCCTGGCTCAGTGATGGGAAAGAGTGTTGTGGTTTTGAGACACAATGATGTTACAATAGGAAAGTCTTCAGTGTTAATGCCAAATACCATTGAAATGGCACAACTTAAAAAGCCACTGAAAGGACAATTTAAAAGAAATGTAGAGATTTCTTCCGAGATGTCAGAGCTGGATGTTAAAAGGGCATTGATAGAAAACTTTCCCATTCTTAAACATGAAAGGTAAATTGTTGTATTTTGTCTAAGGTGTATAATTTACAGTTATAATAGTGTTCCTGCAGTCATTACATCTGTGATCCACAATCCTGGACCCCTAAATACCCCTCTCATGAAAGATTTCTTGACTGGAATCACTCTCCCATCCCCCATCCCAGGGCAGAAAAAAACCCAGAAAATTTTGCTCTTGGGCAAGTGAAAATGGACATTTGGTGGTCCAGTGGGCAAGTGCAATTAGCCTCAGTACCCTCGTTAGTGATAATTTCCAATCAAAAACAATTTCAAAACTTAAGGCTGCAAGATGAGCAAAACAATTAGTTGAAAGCACATGCACTTTTACAAGTCCAACACTTCAAAGGCAGCATAACGCAGTGGCAGATGATGATAAAGAACAAGNGATACAAATTCAGCAAAACGGATGAAGCCTGGCTCAGTGATGGGAAAGAGTGTTGTGGTTTTGAGACACAGTGATGTTACAGTAGGAATGTCTTCAGTGTTAATGCCAAATACCATTGAAATGGCACAACTTAAAAAGCCATTGAAAGGACAATTTAAAAGAAATGTAGAGATTTCTTCTGAGATGTCAGAGGAGCATGTTAAAATGGCACTGATAAAAAATTTTCCTATTCTTGAACATGAAAGGTAAATTGTTATATTTTGTCTAAGGTGTTTAATTTACAGTTATAATGGTATTCCTGCAGTCATTACATCTGTGATCCACAATCCTGGACACCTAAATACCCCTCTCATGAAAGATTTCTTGACTGGAATCACCCTCCCATCCCCCATCCCAGGGCAGAAAAAAAACCAGAAAATTTTGCTCTCGGGCAAGTGAAAATAGACATTTGGTGGTCCAGTGGGCAAGTAAAATTAGCCTCAGTACCCTTGTTAGTGATAATTTCTAATCAAAACCAATTTCAAAACTTAAGGCTGCAAGATGAGCAAAACAATTAGTTGAAAGCACATGCACTTTTACAAGTCCAACACTTCAAAGGCAGCATAACGCAGTGGCAGATGATGATAAAGAACAAGATCAAACCAGTGGCAGATCCGGACTTTGAGCTAACGGGGGGGGG